TGCACAGGTGTCTCAGCCACACCCACCACGGGTCCTGCGTGAAGGTGACCCTGTCTGGGCCAGGAATTACGGGCCTGGCCACCTCTGCGTCCCGGCGGTGGTCTGCAAGGTCTCGGGGCCTCTGTTCTACGAGGTGTCCCTGGCAGACGGCCGCGTTCTTCGCCGCCACATAGATCAACTTTGTGTGAGGCGGGACTTGCCTGGGAGTCCTCCTCAGTCTCCTCTAGGGGGGGAGGAGGAATGGGAGATGCATTCTGAGAATCAAACTCACCAGCCTACGATGGTTGTGGAGAGAGAAACGGGTACTCAACACCCAAGTTCCACAGGTGCTTCAAGTAGCAGTTCTTGGGAAAGGGGGTACACAGACACCCCCACACACACTCCAGCCTGGGAGTCCCACCGGTGGCAGACTAATTATCCACCCCTAACAAACAATACTCCAGACACGGAGAATACCTGGGAGCATACGCACAACTCACAACATGCAAGAGAGCAGGCAAAACAAAAGGGGAACACGTCCCGTGCTGACATGGCTCATAGAAGGATGTCCTCACGCATCCGGGCTAACAGGGAGGCATCCCTAGACCCTTTCACTACAGAAAGAAGCCAAGAACACCACACTCCGTCAGGAAACACGGAAATGAGTGCAGAGGGGTTAGACAACTCCATGGAGGGTAGGTCAACCAGGTTTAGCGATCAACAAGGTCCTGACGGCTCGAACCCAGGAGAGGGGCAGGGAAGTCAAACAGGAGTCACCTGTCATCCACAGGGCAATTCACCTAGTGCGAGAAGCAACGGGGAAAACAATACAAGTTCCCCAGGCCCGAGAAGGTCGAAAAGGGAAAAAGGCCCTCCCAAATACCTAGCCGATTACGTAAGGTGAGCAGGTAGATAGCATTAATTGAACTAAGGGTACAGGCTGGTTGACCCTAAGGAAATGAGGTTGGGGCCACTGGGTCTGTGTACAAAGGAACAGCCCCACACCTTATGAAAACCGTGTGACATTGACTCAACTGTTAATTATATAACCATCACTATGATGGCGTCCATGCGGGCGCAGTATCATTTCATCTAGGGGGAAGGGGTGTTGTGTCCTGAGCCTGCAAAGGCAGGCTCGGGACATTGCAAGAGTCCCGGGCATTTGCAAAAGCTGCCCGGGACCAGACTGAGTGGCGCCGGCCTTGCGCTCATGCGCAAGGCGGGAAAAGACCGCATTGTGATTGATTGAATTTGCCCGGGGATCTGAAGGTATAAATAGAGGCCTGCGTGCCTCTGCTCGGGTTGTTCGTAGAATGGAAGCAGAGAATAAAGACTTGTTAGAAATGCTTCGTCTCAAGCGCCATTATTCTCCGGACTTAACAGTCTCCTTTCAGGAAAATGAATACCATGTAGGAGTAGTCCTTCAATGTACATTGTCTGTAAATAAATCTAGAAAAATGCATTTGGAGTTAGAGGTTGATTTGGGGAAAGATTATATCTTTACAAAAGGATTCCTGATGAACTCCACCAAAGTGAAAACTATTTTATTTTTGCAACTTCCAAAAGAAGTCAAATATATGCAGAGGTTAATGGATTTTGCACATTATTACCATATTTTTTTCTCCAGGCTTTGCAGAACTCCCAACACACCTATTTCAGAAATGGAAACTATTTGAGTGGGATATACTAGCCCAGAAAGCTTTCAGAAAAATCAAAAGTGAACTTGTACTTCCAATTCTTCTTCTGACATCCTGATCTGACTATTTTTAACAAATAACAAATATTGATGTTGCACTAGGAGCTATTTTGTTAAAAGCTGCAGTAAAGCCAGATCTTGCTTTTCTGTGCCTATCATTTGAGCAAGTTAAATACATTGGAACAGCACTAATATACAGTATTAGGAATCCTTGCCTGTTAAAATGTAGTCTTTGAAACTTGAAGGAAAAACTCAACATAGAATGGAAATATTCCATTGTAACACTGAATACCTATGAACACCTGAAAAGCTTATCTACCAACCCCTTTGCAGCATAGATATGCATCAATGCATACGCCCGATCAAGCTTAGTGGAAAAGATGAAGCGGTCAGATCCTTGGATGCTCTATTATGCAGTAGTACTATTACAGGCTTATTCCACTCAATCAATCAATCAATCAATCAATCAATCAATCAATCAGAATAGAGCTGGAAGTGATCTTGGAGATCTTCTAATCCAGCCTCCTGCTCAAGCAGGAGACTATGCAATTTGAGACAAGTGGCTGTCCAGTCTCTTCTTAAAAACCTCCAGTGATGGCGCACCCACAACTTCTGAAGGCAAGCTGTCCCACTAGTTAATTATTCTCACTGTTAAAAAGTTTCTCCTTAATTCCAGGTTGCTTCTCTCCTTGATTAGTTTCCATCCATTGTTTCTTGTCCTGCCTTCTGGTACTGTATCTTCAATGTTTGTTCAACTTGACACTTTGTAGCTGTTTGTTTGCACTTGGGTTTGTCTGAGGCTGTAGGTTCTGAAAATAAGCTAGACAGGGTGTTTGTTTTAATTTAAAAAGGACTTGTGATTTAATTAATTCTTTTTTTGGGGGGGAGGGCTCATTTCTACTTTGGAAAGATTTAAACTGTTGTGATTAAATTTTCTTCCTGCCTCCAGATTTCTTCTTCTATCTGAGGAGGGGGGTCTTCCTTCACTAGCTTACCAAGGAGTAGGTTGTGGTCCACTTTGTCAAATGCCTTACTGAAATCTATGTATACTATGTTCACTGCGTTTCGCTGGTCTACTATTTGATCACTTTATCGAAGAATGAGATAAGATTGATTTGGCATGATCTGCTAGTTATGACTTTGTTTGCTTCTAGTTGTTCGCAGATATGTTTTTTGATTATCTTTTCTAGGATCTTCCCTGGTATTGATGTTAAACTGATTGATCTGTGTTTTTTTTCCTTTCTTGAAGGTGGGGACCACATCAGCCCTTTTCCAATCCTCCAGGATTTGTGAAAGATGTGGTGCAATATATGTACAGCCCATATGAAGAACTAAACTAATTGATGGTGCTTTTTAATTGGTATGCTGGATTTAAACAGAGTTCTTCCAAATGCAAGAATATTATCCCAGCCATTAAACAAGAAGTGATTGGACAAACATTCACATCAAAATTCTCTAATATAAAATTGGTTTAATTCCAAAATGGCAACTTACTCATGAGTTTTGAGCCTAAACATTTGTCATGAGAGTTGCAATCTAAATTTACAGAAGAGAGATAATTGCCTTTCTATGTGAGTAACAGGAATTGGTCTCTGATGCCTGACCTCTTTCAATCCACAACCATCACTGATGTTCATCAGAGAATTGTGATGATTTTTGCCTGTCACATAAGAGACTTCCTTATTTTAACAAGTCTCTGAGGCATGCTATAATGAAAGAAACTGTCTACAAAGGAAAAAAATAACCTACTACTTAAAAACATTCCTAATTGTGTCCTCCTTCAAACCCAAGAGATTCTTAGTTAATTACTTCTGCAAATTTATATAAAAGGTTGTTCAAATTATCATCAGAGATATTATTTGGAAAGCTTGGATTTAAAGATATTGTCAGATTTGGAACCAATTCCAAGGTTATATTTAATCTTTAAATGCAATATTAGGTAAAACAACATTCATTTCCTTAATTCCAGTTGGAATTAGAATTTGCAAGAACTTATTGCTTTGTTGTTATTTAGAACAAAGGAGAGTAAGGTAATCAATCTGAAATGTTTTCACTGAAAACTTTCCACATAATAAGATTCTCCATATAGCATTTTGTGTTGCTATCCAAACCAGTACAGCTCTGGTTGACCAGAAATTGAATTAAAAAAGTTACGCACACATGTTTTATAACTTGGTTGTGAAAAGGACTAAAAATTGAGTTGTCAGTTTCCTTGCTGAGAAACTATGTAGAACTAATTAATATCTATACTCTCCTGTTATTCATAAATGAAACCCAACCTATTTGAATTGTCGTGCTTTTATATATTTTGTATTGTTACAACATTTTTATTGTGGAATTGCCTGAACGCATCCACAAAATTTAGTAAGGGCAGATGGCAACTTGTTCTTTTGATTAGTGCTATGAGCGTTAGAGTTACAGCTCATGAAAACATTTTGGAAAATCAATAAACACATGCTGCATTGTTGCAAATGATTGTTACCAGTATGAATGCTGAAATGGAATAAAGATCCATCTTGGAAGTTCTTTAATAGGCAATGGGCACTGTCTTATCAGAGATACATCATATTTAATCAAACATGGCCAATCCTATAATGTATGACATTGAAAAATCTTGACATAAACTGTGATAAGAATTCTGCTTGTAAAAACAAAACTATTTTCATTCTGTGATCAGCAATAACCAGATAAATAATATGCCAAGTTGCTGTTGGTAGCTTTAAGGGGGAAATGCCTCAATAGTAAAGATGCCTCTCCACACCCAGGACTGTTTAAGAAGACTTCAGAACCAGAAGCTGCAAAGAAAAGAAAGTAGAAGCTGATGTTATGTTTCTAAAAATACAGGTAAGAAATGAAAATATCGCTTATCCAATAACCCACACTTCATTATCCAATTACTTTATATATAATAAAGTAATTATATGTGCTTTTGTTGTTCGTAAAGCAAGTATTTTATAAATGGAATAAGCCAGCCAGCCAATCTAATGCTACTAATTTAGGGGGGAAAAAGTATTCTTGCCCTCCTAATGCCTGATCAAAATGTTCTGCTTACCTAATAAGAGGTATGTAAAATACATACCTGTGTGATCAAATTTACCTTTAAAAATGTTTGTCATGTTATCTTGGTACTATAAAGAGTAGTTGGTTAAGTATTTAATAAAAAAATGACTCAGCCAACATAAAGTACAGCACATTTAGTCTAATATCGAAAATCTTGGTGGTTTAATTATCTCTTGATGAATTTCTTAAGTTCAACTTTAATTTCCAAAGATGTCATTTTCAAACATTTTTGTTCTTTCTCCTTTTAACAGACCACAGGACTCAAATGAAGAGTGAAAATCAAACTGTGAGTCCAGAATTTTACTTCCAACCATTCACAACCATCCCAGAGATGAAATGGTTGATCTTCTGGACTTTGCTGATTCTCTACTTGCTCAGCCTCCTTGGGAATGCGTCCATTGTTTTCGTCATTTACACTGCAAGTTCTCTCCATTGCCCAATGTATTTTTTCTTGGCTAACCTGGCATTTCTGGAGATTGCCTACTCTTGTACCATTGCCCCCTTAACTTTGGCTCATCTTGCTTCAGTGAGAAAGGTCGCCATTTCTTTGGGCGGGTGTGGCACCCAGCTCTTTTTCTTTACCTTGCTGGGGGGCTCAGATTGTGTCCTGCTGGCTATCATGGCTTATGATCGATGCATGGCAATTTGCCGCCCACTAAACTACCCTCTCATTATGAGCTGGAGAATGTGTGTGAATCTTGTAGTTGGGGCATGGGCCACGAGTGGGTTCCTTGGTTTCCAGTTGAGTCTCCTCATACTAACCCTGCCTTTCTGTGGCAATATAATCACTAATTTTTTCTGTGATTTTCCTGCTCTAATGAAACTGACATGTGGAAACATCCATGTCCAGCAAAATATCCTTTTTATTACAAGTATGATTCTCTTGACTTTCCCCTTCATAGTAATCAGCATGTCCTATGCCTTTATCACAATGGCCATCATACGCATCCCTTCTGCCTTGGGGCGTCAACGAGCTTTCTCTACTTGTTCCTCCCATTTAATGGTTGTCCTTATGCAGTATAGCTGTAGCAGTTTAATATACCTGTGCCCTACTTCCAGCTTCTCAGGAGTGCAAATTCGGATGGTGTGTGTCTTCTACACTTTCATCACACCTGTATTAAACCCTCTGATCTACAGCATGAGGAGCAAAGAGTTAAAAGAGGCAATGAATAAGTCCTTCAGAAGAATAATACTGCCTCAGAAGAAATGAGGAAATTCTGTCAATAAGGGAGAAAAGACTCACCAACTATAATAAAAATATGGTGGGATCAAGAAGACAAGAAACTGATGGATGGGTAGACTATCTGCATGCTTACAACCTCTGTATATTATCATAATATCTGCAGAGCCCAATGTCTGAAATTCTTTCCAACTCCTTTATTGGCAGTAGACATAGAAGGTGCCTGGGCTGCATACGTTGCTTCTGAGTACATGTGCATATGTGTATGTGTATGAGAAAGAAAACCTGGATCCATATATGTGTTTTTTAAAAATATGTTTTATTAATTTTTAACATAGTCACCTTAATATTCGGTAAACAGTGTGTTGTCTGGGTTTACATTTAAGAAACATTCACTAACAGTTGATTTCTATAATCTATAATCCATATAATAACTTTACTTGATTTCCTCTTTTTCCCATAATGTTCTCTTTTACCAACCTTTTGTTAATACAATTCTTGTTTCAATGAATGGTGATTGAGTATAAAAGTTTTCTAATATTTCTACAGATAATAATCACATTAATATAATATTCCTTTTCTATCTAGTCATTCTGGTTGTCGCATCATAGATACTGTTTACAGTTCTTGTTTACATTTGTTTTTCTCACAATGTTCCAAACATTCTTACTGTTTAAGATTTTCTCAAAGTTAATTACATTTAAATATTTAAGTCTATTTTTTCTCATGTAAGCCAACCCAATATTTTTATCTTTCTTAAGGAATAAATAAGACTAAAAAAAGAAAAAAGAAAAAGAATAAAAAATAAAAATAAAAAGATAGTATGCTACTTAAAATCTCTATTTCCTATAAGCTAATACATATTTATTTCCAAGATTTTTTTGTTCTTTTTTACCATAATTAAAAATATATTTAAATTTTAAATATTCCATTTAATAAATCTAGTCCGCTAGTCTTTTAACTCTTATTCAAAACATTTGTTTTAATCCATTGTAATTTTCTTAAAGTCAATCACATTTAGATATCTAAAACATTTCCTTTATATAAGCCATTCCAACTCTTTTATATTACTCATATCAGGAAATAAAATAAAAAAGAAGAAGAAAAAGAAAGTACTATGTTACTTGAGGGGCTCTTCCCTCTTAAAGTCAAATTCACATCCAAAATTTTTCCATTTCTTTAACCATATTCGAACAGGTGTTTCTTTTTTAAATATTCTCTCTGATAGGCCCCATCGTCTATTTTCTTAATTTTCACTTTAGCCTTTTTCTTTTGCCCAGTATCTTTCTTAATCAATATTTTCTGCTGAGTCAAAGAATCTTTCCATATTCTTGTAGGTGTTACTGTAGATATAAAAGGTAAGTCAAGTACAATATCTTTGTGAGAGGCATTTTTCTTTCTTTTTCTCTCTGCTTCTCTTATCATTTTTTGTCTCTCCAGTTCTAGTGTTTTTCCTGGCATCTCTGCAGTCCATTTTGTCCAATCTTTTTTCTTATCCTCAAATTTGTTTTGTGGTGTTATAGTATAAGTTGTCTTTTCCAAATCCAGTATTTCTTGTAAAATAATTTCCACTTAAGTTAAATCATACTTCTTTGTTTTGTTAGGTTCCATCTTTAAGTCTCTATCCTCAAATTTGTATTCAGCTTTCTGTTTTATCTGCTCCTTCTCTGTTGTTATTTCCTGGGTTTTTTTTTGTTGTAAAGTTAAATTGGAGATGAATTGGTTCATTTTTTCAAAGTTATTTTGGATTTCTTTGTGGTTTGAAGTCATTGTTGTTTGAATTAGTTGCAGCATCTCATATTTCTCCTCTTGAAAGGTATTTATTTTTTCTTGATAAGTTCTTTCTGCAAGTCTCTGACTTTCCATAGTGGTCAAGAATCGAGGTTTTCTTTTCTCTGCAAATAGCTTTAGAGTCATAGTTTAGTAGATATTTATAATCCAAAAAGGTTCAAAAAGGTTTCCTGAAGTTTATAATCCTCTCTTTGTCTGCAACCCAAATTGTTTTCTTTTTTGTCACAGCTGTTCTCTATTGTTATAGCTTTGAAGGTCACAAGCACAGATTAGTTTTTTCCAGATTTTATAAAGTCCTGTATAAAAGCCATAGCTGTCATAGTCTTTATCCANAGATCCTCCTGTATCCTAAGCCTGTCTTCTGGAGTGTTGGCTATTCCTGCCAGCTTGGTGTCGTCTGCAAATTTGATGATTTCCCCATCTATCCCCTCGTCCAAATCATTGATGAAGAGGTTGAAGAGCACTGGGCCCAGAACAGAGCCCTGGGGCACCCCACTACACACTTCCCTCCATGTAGATGCGGTTCCATTGAGGGCCACACGCCGAGTACGGCCGGTCAGCCAGCTACGGATCCATCTGGTGGTGATGCTGTCTAACCCACATTTTTATATCTTATCAAGTAGTAGGTTGTGATCTATTTTATCAAATGCCTTACTGAAGTCCAAGTAAATTATATCCACAGCATTCCTCTGATTCACTAATTTTGTCACTTAGTCAAAAAATGCAATAAGATTTGTCAGGCATGATCTGTTTTTGACAAACCCATTTCTTTAATTTCTTTTGCTTACTATTTCTTATTGTTTTTCTGTGCTTTACACCATATTGCTTTCTCTGAAAGTAATGTGATGCATATACATTTTTAAAAAAAATCATACATAATGTATTACAATATTAGATATTGAATACTTTATAGTTTTTGCTTTTGTTAACTTAGTGCCACTATTATTTAGTGCTTGTAATTTACTGAAACTCTGACCTGCTGAATTTTCTATTTTATTTTATGTAGATTTTAAAAAGCAAGTAATGGAATAAAATAAAAGTAACTCAATCTTACATCATCAGAAGGAAACAAATTTTCAGCCACCAGTTCAAGTAACATTGACCATGGTAATAAGCTATAATCTAACATGATATTATTTAGTACTCTATGTGGAAAATGCTTACATAATAGAACAGCAGCTTGTTCCAGACATTTATTACAGTAAAGGTTCCACTGATTTCAAAGAAACATACTTCCAAGGGAGTCTGCATTTTAATTAAAGTGAGAAGAAAAAAGTGCAGAAATAGAACAGATTTGGAAAAGAAGCTGTGTGGTTACCTTTAAAACACAAAATCATTGCCATAAACAGAAAAAAAAAA